GGTCGGGCATTTGCAAGTGGCTGACCTCACCTAGCACCGCGTTTGGTGCGCCGAGCACCACCAAGGAGTCACCCCTGAGCACAGTGACAGGAATGCCCCCTGAATTCTTCGCGGTATGGTCCCCAAAGCTACAAATATTATGTGAAGGGCTGGGAGATGACTCAGTGAGCTGGAGCGTATGCTCTCTATGCAGGAGTCCTAGGTTTGATCCCCAACACCGATTGGTTCCTGAGCACTGCTAGGAGTGACAGTCACCTCCCTGATACTGGGTATAGTTATATTTCAAACAAAGCAACAAAAAATCATGTACTCAGAGGATAAATAGGGAAAAATTAACTTAATTTAATTTTTTTGATGTAGGAGAACTGTTATTTATTCAGCCATTGATTAAGCTGATTTAATTGGGCATGAACTCCACATTACTTTATTATTATTATTATTATTTTTGCTTTTTTGGGTCACACCTGGCGATGCACAGGCGTTCCTCCTGGCTCTGCACTCAGGAGTTACTCCTGGCGGTGCTCAGGGGACCATATGGGATGCTGGGAATCGAACCCGGGTCAGTCGCATGCAAGGCAAACGCCCTACCTGCTGTGCTATCTCTCCAGCCCCCACATTACTTTTTTAATTTTTAAATTGTATAAGTTAGTTTAAACCAATCAGTGTTTGGTTACAAAATTTGGTTACATTCAACATTTCAAACACCAATCCCACCACCATTACATCTTCCCACCACCAAATTCAGGATGTTTCCATCCCAAACCCCAATCCCTGTCCCAAAACACAACGGAACCAATATAGGAAAATTAATTTTTAATATCAACATTAATATTCAATAGGATTGAGAGTTCCATAGTTTATATGCAGTATGGCCAGATTCCATCCCTGACATCACATGGACAGAGCTGGAAGTAGCTTCTAAGCGGTCCAAAAGATAAAACTAAAAAACAACAAAAACCTAGGGAAAAAAAAAGATAAAACTAAAACAAACTAAATAACTCAAACCGCAAATTCAATAAGATGTTCTGATTAAAAAAAAAAAGTAGATGCAAAATCACTCAGGCTAGTGTTGCTGCTGGAAACCAAATGTGATTGTGGATAAATTGGAGTGTTGTATGTAGTTTTAGGGGTCACAGCCAGCTGTGCTCAGGGATCACTCTGAGGTGCTCGGGGTACCTTATGTGATACTGAAGTCGAACTGGAATCAGCCAAGCAGGGCAAATGCCTTAATCCTTGTACAATTTTTCTAGTCACCTCGGTTGGTTTTTTTTCTTTCTTTTCTGTTTCCTGGCCAATTCTGGAGATGCTAAAGGGCTACTCCAGACACAGAATTTGGAGTCCTGCTGGCACTGCTCAGGGCACTATGTGATACCGGGGATGGAATCTGGGTCTCCCCAGTGCAAAATAGGAGCCTCAGTCCTTTGAACCATCTCCCCAGTTTAAGCTTAGGTGGTGGAGGTGGGAAGTGGCTCGTGTCCAGGACTTGGAAAGGTGTAGACAGCTGGATGCTAACTAGGGGAGAGAGAAAGCTGGAAGTGGGAGGCTCAGAAAGGGTGTTTATTAGTTGGGATGGCAATGAAAAATTTAATACTAGTTTATAGCTTATAGTTTATAGGTAGGAGTGACTGTCCTTGGTCTTTCATCTGATCTGTCGCTCTCATTTCATGGATAATCAGTAGCTTTATGAGCCTCTTACCCTAATTTGTTATCACTGTATCATATTAAAAAAAAATTATCAGGTTCTGCAAAGGGAGGTACCTGCTTTAAAGATTTCCTTCCTCCTGACCAAGGGTAAATTAGGAATGTGCTAATTTAACAATTTACACTGCTTTTTCCTGGCAAAGTCCTGGCAATTCAAGAAAGGAAAGAAAGGGAAACTCCCTTAAGCAAAGAAACCAAAGAAACCAAAACCTTTCCACCCCTCCTCCCCTTTTTTTCTTTTCTTTTTGGTTTATTCTGAGTAATTGTCCTCAGAAAGCTGTCAAGTGTGATTCCTCTTTCTGCTCTTCCATGATGTCCCCGCTGACTTCTCTGCCATCCGCTGTCAGGATATTTGAGTCTCAGCACCCGGAAGATGATCGAAGTCCTGTGTTTCCCCCCCACCCCCACCATCATTCTTTTCTAAACCCTTTTAGATGCTGGTGGGAGGAGCCAACCAAGGGTCTGGCCTGTTCCTTTTCTGACCTTCTGGGCTCCCAACCTCCTAGGCATTTCTTTCTCCATCTGTTTTCCTCTTTTTCCTTAAAAAAAAAAAATTAAAAACTATATTAAAACAAAAGGTGAAGGCGTTCCCCTCCCCACCACCACAACGGGAACAAAGCCAGTGTGAGGCTGGTATTGATTCATGATTCATGTGTAAGCATGTATGTATTTACATACAGACCTCACTTTTTTGGAAGAAACTTGTATTGGCAATAGATTGCAGCATGAGAAATGCCTGATCCTGTCATCTTGAATAAAGTGCAAGTTTACGTCTCTTTCAACTTGTCAAAGGAATCCTTCTGCTCCGGTTTGATTTGCGCTTTCTCACTCCTGCCCGGTAATGCCGGTGGTGATGGGATTGGGCCCAGGTGCCCAGGAGGTTTCACGCACCTGAGGGCGGGAAGCCTCTATTCCACAACTCCACTAGGGCCCCATCACAGCTGCCTTCCCTACAGGGGCTGGAAAAGTGATTCTGCAGCCCGGCTTCAGAACATTCTTCCAATGAGGTTGATTTGAAAGCTCTTTCCAATGTTGCCATTCCCGGAAAATGCCTTAAATTCTGGTTTGCAAAAACAATCGGCATAGAGGATGTTTATGTACCTACTGGGTGTTTTGTCCTCCCCCCACCCCCCTTAATGATACCGCAGGCCTGGCGATCCAGGCTAGGACACCGAATTCTCCCTCCCCCATTTTTAGTGAAATTTGGCACCAACCTTAAACGTCAGGTTCATATGTTCTGACAAATGTACAGACTCATATATTTCTTTTTCAGTGCTCCAGAATGTTGCCTCCATTTGACTTTCCCAGCCAATCCCTACTTCCCGGTCAAAACGTATTTTTCCCTAGCCCTGGAACTGGGCTCTGCCTCTTCTAGAATTTCCTGCAGAGGGAACCACACAGTAGGAACTCATTTGTGTCCGGCTTCTTTTCTCCAAACTTGTTCATGAAATGCATTCAGGTCTTTGCCAGTGCAAGCCGGCCATGTGACTTAAAAAGTAAGATCCAAAATGTCACTTGCAGCTTGGCCCTAGTAATACAGGGACAATTGTTCCCGGTCTCCGGAGACTATAAATCCTGGTACGTGGCTCTCTCAGCACTTCCCAATTCAGTTTCTTCCTAGGACCAGGCCAGTTCATTTTCCAGAACCACCCAGGCAGTCTCGGCACCACCCAGATGGCAGCCTCCCCTGCAACAGCTGCCCGCGGTGTCCCCCACCCTAACCAGGAACACTCGGGAGGGAACTGACCCCTCGTTAGATCAGAATTTGGATCCGTCTCACTGCATGCATCCAACAGCGCTCAACTGCGAGGTGTTTTGGTGTGGATCAGAAAAGCCGAATCTTAAGGAAACGCAAAAAGAAAGAAAATGAAAAGGGGTGTGTGTGGGTATGTGTTGGTGGGGGCGCCCAGATCGGCTCGGCCGCGACCACCAGCTTCAGTGGACTCAGGATTTCTAACGAATTCTTTCCTGCTCTTTTTAAAATGAACGGAAGAGTCGCTCAGGCTCCCGGCTCGGGAGGTTTCAAAGGTCGTCGCACGGCGGCCCGGGGCGTCCATCTCCCCACGGCCGGCGCGGGGAAGAGGTCGGAGGGAGGCGGGAGGGCGCACACAAAAGCGAGCGGAGCCGAGCGGGCTAATGTTTCCTGTTTGCCGCAGCCCCCTCCCCCAGCCCCCTCCCCGCACTCGGGCGGAAGTGAGTTTGCTCCTTTGCAGATTAAAAGGATTCCGAATTCCGATCAGTCCCAATAACCAGCTCACGGAGAGGAGGAGGAGGAGGAGGAGAGGCGGCAAAGCAGAGAAAGGGGCCGCGCGCGCGTACTCGCACGCAGCCCGAATTGGGGGAGTCGTGCAAAAGCCCCGAGAAGCCGGGGGGCCGCGCGGCACCGGCACAGCGCGGTAGGCGCAGCGCAGCGCGGCCACCCGAGTTCTGCTCGGCGACTCGATTCGGAAAGGAGATGACGCGGGCGCGGGCCGGCGGCGTTGGCCACGCGGCTCCCGAGCTCAGCGCCGCGTGGGGCCGTCGCCGGTTCCACTGATTCCAGCGCGCCCGGGAAGGGAGGCTCCGTCCCCGCGGCTCGGAGGGGGGACCACGGCGAGGGCGAAATGGCCCGATGACAAAGGAAATGTGATCCCCTCCGCTGCCCAGGCTTCAGCGAGGACGGCCGCGAGGAGGAGGAGGAGGAGGGGCGCGGGGCGCGCGCGGGGCTCGGGTAGCATCGCACGACGGCGCGCGCGGAGCGGGTACATCCAATATCTTCCAGCCGATGAATAATTCAGGGCGGCCCGCGGGGACCTGCGGCCCCGCGCGGCGGCGCGGCTGAACCAAAGGGGGAAACAGCGCGCGGGAGGCGCCCGGGCGGGGCGCAGCGGGGACACGAGGGCCCGGGGCCGCGGGAGGCGCGCGTGCGTGCTGAGAGCGGGCGGCCGGGCGCGCGGGGAGACGAGGCGCGTGGGACGCGCGTGCGGCGGCCGCCGCCGGGCCCCGAGAGCTGCGGCTGCGGCGGGACCCCGCGCCTGCAGGGGGAGGCCACGCCGCAAGCCCCGAGCGCAGCACGCCGGGGCCACCCAGGAGCCCCAGGCTGCGCCGCGTCATGCGGCGGGGCGGCAGGCGTCGCGCGGGGGGACACGGGCTTGGCGTCGCGCCGCTCCCGCCTTTACGCACTCGGGGCGCCTTCCGCTCTCGACCAGAGGCCAACTAAAAGCCGCTGAGGGGAAAGCAAGACGACAAGTACTCGTGGGGCCCGAGCTGCGACTGCACAGCGGACTCTCCCCCGGGGGTGGGGGTGGGGGTGTGTGTGTGCGTGGGGGGCAACCCTCCTCGGCAGGGGAGCTGCGAAGCGGCAGCCGCGCCCGGGGGCGCAGCGCAGTCCGCTGACCTCCCCGCCCCCGCTCGCTCGTCCCCCGCGTGTCGGGGCTTGTCCCGGCACTGCCGCTTGCGGAGGCGCGCGGCGCTCACCTCCTGCGGGAGGGATCCTGCTCGCCTCCCCGCGAGCGCGTGGCTTTGAACGCCCGCCGCGGCGGGGGCGGCCGCCCGCGTAGGTGGGACGCTAGAGGCCCGGCGCCCGGCTTGTCGGCCGGATCGATGCCCCTTTCCGAGTGAGCCGGCGGCGCCCCCACCCACCCCGTCCGTGCTCCTCTCCACCTCCTCCTCCGCTTCCTCTCCGGTCTCCTCCCTCCTCCGGGCCCGCCTGCCAATGGCTTCGTTCCCCGAGACCGACTTCCAGATCTGCCTGCTGTGCAAGGAGATGTGCGGCTCGCCGGCGCCGCTCTCCTCCAGCTCGTCCGCCTCGTCGTCGTCCTCGCAGACTTCCACGTCGTCGGGGGGCGGCGGCGGGGGCCCCGCGGCGCGCCGCCTGCACGTCCTGCCCTGCCTCCACGCCTTCTGCCGCGCGTGCCTCGAGGCGCACCGGCTGCCGGGCGCGGGCGGCGGCGCCCCGGGAGAGCCGCTCAAGCTGCGCTGTCCCGTGTGCGAGCAGAAAGTGGTGCTGGCCGAGGCGGCGGGCATGGACGCGCTGCCTTCCTCCGCCTTCCTGCTCAGCAACCTGCTGGACGCCGTCGTGGCCACGGCCGACGAGCCGCCGCCCAAGAACGGGCGCGCCGGCGCGGGCGCGGGCGGTCACAGCAACCATCGGCACCACGCGCACCCGCACGCCGCCGCCGCCTCGGCGCCGCCGCCGCCCGCGCCGCCGCCGCCCGCGCCCGCCCGCGCCGCGCCCGGCGGCCCGGCCGCCTCCCCGTCGGCGCTGCTGCTGCGGCGGCCGCACGGCTGCAGCTCGTGCGACGAGGGCAACGCCGCCTCTTCGCGCTGCCTCGACTGCCAGGAGCACCTGTGCGACAACTGCGTTCGCGCGCACCAGCGCGTGCGCCTCACCAAGGACCACTACATCGAGCGCGGCCCGCCGGGACCGGCCGCCGCCGCCCAGCAGCTCGGCCTCGGGCCGGCCTTCCCCGGAGCGCCCTTCTCCATCCTCTCCGTGTTTCCCGAACGTCTCGGTTTCTGCCAGCACCACGACGACGAGGTGAGTTCCCCGGAGGGACCAAAACGAGGGTTGGAATCTCCTCGCCGCGTTTTTTTTAAATTTTATTTTTATTTAAAAAAAAGAAAAACAGTTTTCGGCGACGTGGCAGGCGGTTCCTGCTTGGTCATCCCTGGGCCAGCCTGGTGTGCGCCGGCTCCAAGGGCCTCCGACGGGATCCCAAGGTGTGGAGTCCCTGTGTTCCCAATTGTGGGCGAATTTCGTATCCCGTGGGGCAAGTGTGCTTGTGTGTACGCGGCCTCTGGCAGCCACGGTCTCTATCCCCCCTGATCTCACCGCATGGCTCCTGAGTTTCCAGGAGGAAGCCTGTGCTTAGCTCTCCCCGTGTCGTTGAGCGAACGTGCTCCTTCCCCTTCAGGAGCCGCTACGGGGGGGCGTGGGCGCGCGCGCGCGTCTCTGAAGTCCCCGGGAGCCGGGCCGCGTGGTGAGCGCGTGGGTCTGCGCTGATCTCCGCGTGTGCGCGGGCAAGGGAGGATTTGGATTTTTCTGAAGGGATCATTGGGGTAGTGGCGGCAACCTGCCTTGGTTAAGGGCATCTTGGGCATGTTGGTAGAGGGGGCCCTACTTGCTGGTTATTTTTATACTCGCTCCGACCTTCCGAGGTATCCTTGGGTGTTCTCTCTGGTCTCTGCGACGGTTGGCCGCCCTCCCTTCCGATCCGGGTTTGAGAGCTCGAATTGAACTGGTTTCCCCGCTTAGCCAGAGTCCCCACCCGGGTGCACTAGGTTGGGCTCCTTTTGGTCAAAACAAAACAAAACAACCAAAAAAAAAAAAAACCCGGCTAGCCCTACGGTACTCCGGGTGCTGCTGCGCCGCTTTTCGCTCCTTTCCAAATCCCCCTCCGCCCAGCCAAAAGTACCTCGCGCTGCCTCCCACCCATTACAGGTTTTAGGGCGGGGCGTGGGGCTCTAGCTGATGGGATTTTCCCGTACGGGGAGACCGCGCAGTGCCGTGAGACACCCCAGTGGAGGTGCTGTGAGCGATTGGCGCGCGCGTGTCCTGAGCTCGGCGCCGCCGCGCACCGAGAACCTTACCTACCCCCCTGTTAATTGCTGGGGAGGAGGGCGTAGCCTTTGCCGGACTCCCCCGAAGCCGGCATTTCTCCCTTCGGGAAAAGTGAATCTACTTCCTGGTGGGTGTCCCCGTTTTTTGGGGATGGTGTTTTTGGGCCACACCTGGCCATTTTCGGGTTACTCCTAGCTCTGCACTCTGAAATTACTTCTGGCCCAGCCCGGTTTGAGACCCTATGGGATTCTGGGGATCGAACCTGCAAACCTACTTGTACTATTTCTCTGGCCCTGGGCACATCTTTTTAAAATTCAAGATAATTTCTAGAGGGGATGATTCTAGGATGTCTCTAATTCTTTTTCCTTTTTTTTTGTAAGTTTTGATTGGACTTTGAGTCGTAAAAGTTTTTTTTTTTCACCACTTTTCACGGGGGAATGTTTCTAGTATATTCTTTAATCATATTTAGAAGATGTGAATGATTGAGCCTAAATACCGGCACCAAATCCCAGGAATGGAAAGATGGAGCCAATTCACTTGAAAATTAGGGTCAGATGGGGAGGGGGATGGTGGAGAGAGGGAGGGCAGGGCGCGCCTCGAATTCCTTGATTGAACCCTCCCCAGCAGTTGAGGTTAAATGTCAGGTTTTATTTATATTCCCAGTTAAAGATTCACATACGGTTTATTTGGCCTAAAACAGTAGATGCTCAGTGTTGCCAGACTTGTAAAAAGGTTTATACTCTTTTTAAATTATAAGCCCATTCAAGCCAAGGGGGAGAGTGCTAAGTGAGAAGGCTAGCCAAACTCTCCTGGCCCAGGGAGGTAACTTCAGGTCGCATGAAAAGTCACTTCATGCGCAGTCCCATTGGAGCTGACTGACAAATATTATAACCCTAGAGCAAACGAAATATTTTTCAAAACATAGAATTCAGCCCGCTGGAGCAACAAATTCTCCATTCCTGCCTAAATTCATTTAAAGCAAAAAAAAAAAAAGTAACTTGGCGCTAATCCAGGGTAGAGTAATGCTCGAAAATGATTATTTCTAGGTGGTAAAGCCAGTGTGTGGATAGAGGCTAGGCAGAAGCTTCCTCTCCTTGTGAGGGAGTGTTCTTGCTTTCTTGCTTTTTTTTTTTTCTGCTCAGTGTACACTTTTGATGGTGTGGGAGTGTGGGGAGCAGGGTGTGGGGTGCCTAGGGATCCTGCCAGGGTTTGATCTCTGGGTCCCCTGCCTTTCCCCTCTGTACTGTATCTCCCAGGAAGTGTCCAGAATAAGGTGTGGGGATTGGGAAAGAGAGGAGGGATGCTTTGGAAGAGGTTGCATTTTGGTAGTTACAAGAAGAGGCAACAGGTTCTTAAATTCAGGGCCCTCTTCCATTTCCTTAGGGTCACTGATGATACCTGGCCTAGGGGAAAATACCGAAGCTTGTGGGAAGGGGAGCAATGGGGTCACTCAGGAATGGAACCCCCATCCCAGCAGCTCCCTCCGTGGTCAGAAGGAGTTCTGGGCATGTGGTTTGAAACTCATCCCACCATAGAGGCAGGAGGGAGTTGGGTTTTGCTGAGAAATGCTAATTGAGTACTCCTGCTCAGCATTTGGCCTGGGCCTTGGTAGAAACTGTTGGAATTTATTTCTGGCTACTTGGTGTTGCCCTCGTGGCTGGCCCTTCCTTCCCTCGGTGGCCCAGGGAGCCAGGCATTGGACTGTACCGCTGCTGCCTGCAGTGACCCAGGGTCTCCTGGCTCTGAGCTTGCTTGTGTTGCCCAGCTGTACCCCCCCCCAGGCTTTGGAGAACAGCGTGTGCAGCAAACTGACCTTTGTGGTGCATTATTGGCACCACGAGCACGTGGGATCTTCCCTTCTTTGGAGGTCAGGCTGAGAGCAGAAATCTCAAGGGGTCGGGGGTGTTAGTGCCAGAATGTAGAGGTAGCTTGACAGCGGCAGTCAGCAGAGTAGCCCACTAAGTTAGGCGGTGACACAGTTGCCATCTTGGCTGAGGGAAACATTGTAGCTATGTCCACCTGAGCTGAGTGGGATTGTTGCCACAGGCAGTCCGCGGGCAGGGCTGCCTCTGTAGGGGGAAGTGGGGGTGGAGGGGGCGCTGATGGGGTTTATAATCAGTCCCTGCCCTGGCTTTGGTTTTGAAACCCCTGGGTTTGGCCTTTTCACTGTAAGGACTTCTGAGCTGGGGGGGATAGTCCCTCCTAGATTTGGAGACAGTCTCCAGAAAAGCCCCAGCGCCCAAATCTGGCCGCATCACACAGAATGAAGGAAGGTGGTTGGCTTCCGGAATTAATTAATTGGTGGTAGGATTGCTTGCATTCGTTCGATTAAATGACTATGGGGGAAGAGTACATTTGGCATCGCTATATTTTATTTTGTATTCTGGAGTCAACACTGTTTCAGGCGTACGTTATTCCCTGGTGTATGCATGTTCAGTTTAAAATTAAGTGCATGTGCTGTGTAAATCACAAAATTCAGACCAATAAGGAGACTGACCAGCAGCAATGCTCTGAAGTACATTCCCTGCATGCATGAGCCCCTGGATTTTTATCCTTGGCTCCCCAAGCTAAGAAAAAGGGATCAGGAATGTGTTTTATTTATAGAAGAGGACTAGAAGCATTCTTTGATTTCTGCGCCCCGTTTTTGGCTCTCTGGGGGGGGGCAGGTGGATATGTCTGCTTAGGGCATTTTATCTTACCTGTTCAGAAAGCCAAACTTTACTTACCTTGGGAATAATTAATTGAATGTTGACTGTTTTAAGTTCTGCAGTTAGGTATTCGTAGACTGAGTCTGTTGGATTTCCAGGATACTGAAGATAACGTAGAAGGGAAATATTAACTATCTTAATTTCTGAGGCTTTGAGTGTTAATCTTTGGGCTTTTAAAAGTCATTTTTGCTGAGAAATATGACTAGGGCTGATTCAACATTACACTGGAATGAATTGTATCCATATTAGCTAGGGATTGGGCTGGTTTGGGAAGCTGGTTCTGATGAGGCTGCCACACACCAGATATGACTTCCTGTCCTTTCTCTTTCTTTCTCTCTTTCTTTCTTGGGGGTGGGGGGGGGGGCTGGGCAGCAGCTTTTGGGCCACGCTTGGTGCTGGAGATGCAAACCCCGGGTAAAAGCATGTATAAGCTCATTTAGCTTTCTCCCTGGCCCTATAACCCCAAGTCTTTATTTAACACATCCCAGAAATATTTAAGACTTAGTGATATGAGCACTATCCTGGAAACCTAGGACTTTTTTTTTCCCCCTAAACCGAGTAAACTACATAGGCTTAGGCATCATAGACTTCATTTTATATTTATTATGCTTGAGAATACATATCTCTTGGAACACAACGAAGGTGTTTTTTGGGGAAAAAAACACACTTTCAGCCTTAAATTATTTGGGGACAGTGACAAAATTGAACCCAGAGGCTTAATTGCTGAGCCCGATACCAGTCTCTACTGTAGTTGATATATTCAAACTAGTTGTGCAGGGAATAAAGAATTAGTGGGATCTGGAAAAGTACAGGAGGTAGAACTTCTGCCTTGCATGTGGCCAACCTGTGTTCAATTCCCTGCATCTTAAATGGACCTGAGCACTGCCAGGCCAGGAGTAATTTCTGAATGCAGAACCAGGATTAACCCTGAGTTTCCTGGATGTGGCCATCCCACAAAAATAATTATTCAAGGGCTGGAGCCATAGCACAGCTGCAGGGCGTTTGCTTGCAGGCAACCCATCCAGGTTTGATTCCCAGCATCCCATATGGTCCCCCAAGCACCGCCAGGAGTAACCCCTGAGCATTGCTGGGTGTGACCTAAAAAGGAAAAAAAAATTGAAAGGAATGATTGAGGAAGATTTGCTTTTTCTACATCCTCCCATTTTAGTTACTTACTAAGCTCATGTTTAATGCTGGAGTATGGCCTGTAGAGTGTTTGCCTTGCGTGTGTCTGATCTGGATTGGATCCAGGGTACCTCAGATAGTCCC